ATTGTAGAATGCAGCCATCAAAACCTAAAAATTCAATTACAAAAACAAAAAGGGGGAATAAGCCCCCATCAAAAGTTGGGTATGGCCTTATTCACTATTAATGTTCTTAATTTTCAAAAAAATCAGCTGGAATCCCAGTTTCAGAAGCATCGGGGTTGACAGGAGCAGAGACCTGAGGTACGGGTAAGACGGAAGGATCCCATTACCGGGCAATGGAAAGGACCAGATCCATTGCTAACCATGGGTCGAGGCTTTGGGTGGTCTACCCTACAGGAGATTCAAACCCCATATGGGTGCATGCGAAAAACCTTAAGTGGGTAGGCCAGGATCCGACTGACTAGCATGATGGTCCATGGACAATAGTTCATGAGACAAAATTCCTCTCTTTATAACCATCTGAGGTAAAGGACCCAGTTCCTTGACTTCATTGTCAGTCATCCTCTTTGACAACTAGCTGATTGGCTAAAAGGTACATGGTCTCAGAAGTATTTCAACTTGTCCTATGCCATGACTTGCTTTCTCTTGATAATGCTTTTCTTTAAGTGTCTTTACCAGATAATTCAGTGACAGGGGACCCTTGGAACTGCCACAGCTCACCTCCTCATGATTATGGACTCCCCCAGGAACCCCTCCGGTTGCCCACGCTTGGCTAACCGAGTTAGGCAGAGACTAAGACTGTCATGGGCTGGCATTACCCATGCGGCTGCCCTTAATCATGATACATTTTTAGCCAAGGACAGGTAAGATGTCCCATGACAAGCACTCCTAAGACAGGACATGCACATGGCCAGGTGCATGATCCAATGATGTTTTGAGTTAGGCAGAGACTAAGACTGTCACGGGCTGGCATTACCCACATGGCTGCCCTTAATCATGATGCATTTTTAGCCAAAGATGGGTAAGATGTCCCATGACAAGTACTCCTAAAACAGGACATGCACATGGCCAGGTGCATGATTCAATGACGGGCAAGGCTTGATCAGAGGTGACACAACCTAAGACAGGCAAAAGCATAAGATTAGAGGAAGGAGATAGCCATCTCTCCTCAGGGAGCCACATATGAGGTGGGTAACCCGTGAAATAAAGTCAGTGCAGCCTTAAAATAAAAATAAAAAGGGGGATATGTGGGGACCTAAAGGCCCCACCTTGCATAGGTCCGAAAGGAAGTTACTGGGGGCGTGGCCTGGCTTGCTTTGAAAGTCTGAAGAATACTTCCGCACTGCTGAGGAGTGCATGATCAGCGTGTGACCATCCTTAAGATACACCCTCAGGGTGGGGGGGAGTTCCAGGTGCCTTTATAAGCTCTGTAATACCTGTAATAAATGAGTCTCTGCCTGACTAGACTCCCCATTGCGTCTGAGTGTTCCTGGGTATTGGGGGCAGCATGGGCTGGTGAATGGTATGCTTACTCATCCCCAATCATCACTGCCCGGGTGTAGCTGGTTCAAACCCCCAGCAGTTTATGGGCATAAAACTCAGGTTGTCAGACTTATACTGTGGGACAGCAGTCAACTTTACCCACTGAGCCATTTTTCCAGTCCTTTTTTTTTTTTTTTTTTGCATATGCATGTGCCTGTTGTGTGTGTGTACGTGTGTCAGTACATGTATGTTCAGGTGGTGTGTGGAAGCCAGAAGTTGATGCCAACTGTTTTCCTTGATTGTTCTTCATGTTATTTACTGAGAGTTGATTCTGTGAGTCCACAAAGGGGGTAAGGGAATCTCCTCTCCTTTCCTTCAGAGCTCTGGGATTACAGACAGCCATCATGCCTGTCTTGCTTTATGTGGGTTGTGAGGGTCCAAATTCTGGTATTCAGGGCTGGAGAGATGGCTCAGTGGTCAAGAGCACTGACTGCTCTTGCAGAGGACCCAGGTTTGATTCCCAGCACCCAAGTGGTGGCTAACAGTTGTCTATAGCTCCAGTTCCAGGGGAATCTGACATCTTCTTCTGACTTCCATGGGCATTGCACAATGTGGATGCACTTACACACATGTAGGCATTACACTCATATACATAAAAATAATAAAATATTTTTTTAATTTCTGGTATTCATGCTCGCACAGCAAGCACTTTGTCCACTGAATCTCCCCTAGCTCCTCTTCTCCCTTCTTAATCCTGAGTATGGCTAACGTAGTGCATAAAGGCAGTGATGTACCTTGTCTAATTTCACAGCAGAATCAGACAAACTAATATTCATGATACAAATTAATATTCGATGATGAGCCTATTTTTCCCCCAGATTGAACTGAGAATTTTAATCAAAACCCTTTCTAATAAAATAAAAAGAAGGCATTCTGTAACCATAGCATTGTATTTGCTTAGCTCATGATTATGCAAAATAAGAAAATGTAAATGATTAATCTAAGACCATGTTGATTTCCATGTATAGTGAATGGTTTTGCTCAAAAGTCATTTAGCAGTTAAAAAACAGTGGTTCTATTCAGTAACAAAACTGAAACAAATGCACACTATAGAATTAAGATCGACATTTTCTGCCAGGTGTGGTGGCACAGGCCTTTAATCCCACTTGGGAGGCAGAGGCAGGCAGATCTCTGTGAGTTCAAGGCCAGCCTGGTCTACATAGCAAGTTCCATGCCAGCTGGGGCTACAGGGAGACCCTTTCTCAAAAAGACCAAAAAAAAAAAATCTACATTTTTGCAACAACTTTTAAATTATTTAATATGAAGCCAGTTTATGGGGTTTTTTTTTTTTTTTTTGAGACAGGGTCTCCCTGTAGCTGCAGCTGGCCTGGAACTCACAATTTAGACCAGGCTGGCCTCGAACTTGTATATGCTTTTTTATTTATAAGTCTGTGTCTGTCTATTTTGAAACAAGATCTTACCTGCGGCCTACACTAGCCTGGAACTTGCTATCTTCCTGCCACAGCACTCAACTCCAGTTGTTATTTTACTTTGCCTTGTTTTGTTCTGGTTTGTGACAGTGTCTCCTATATTCCAGGCTGGCTTCAAACTCACTAGGTAGCCAAGGATGACCTTGAATGTCCAATCCTCCAGCCTCCACCTCCCAAGTGCTGGGATTACAAGTGTGTGCCACCACATCAAATGTATGAGGTGCTGGTGATTGAACACGAGATACTGTGCATCCTAGGCAAGCTCTCTACCGAGTTACATCTCCACCAGTGTTTTAATTTTTACTTTATGTGTTTGAGTGTTTTGCTTGCATGTATATAAGTGCACCAATGCAATGCCAGTGAAGATCAGAAGAGGGCATCGGATCTCCTGGAACTAGATGGCTGTTAGCCACCATGTGGGGGCAAATCTAGGTCCTCTGCAAGAGCAGTCAGTGCTCTTTTTGTTGTTGTTGTTGTTTTTTTTTGGAAAGGAAAGGGTTTATTTGGTTTATATCATCACTGAGGGAGCCCAAAGTAGAAATGCAGGACAGGAACCTGGAGGCAGGATCTGAAGTACAGTCCATGGAAGGAACAGTCAGTGCTCTTAAATGCTGAGCCATCTCTCCAGCTCCTCCACCAGTTTTTAAATAACAGTATTAGGGGGCGGAAGAGATGGCTCAGCGGTTAAGAACACTGGCTGTTCTTGCAGAAGACCTGGGTTCAAATCCCAGCACCCACATGGCAGCTAACAACTGTCCATAACTCCAGTCCCAGGGGATCCAACAACCTCTTCTGTCCTCCGTGGACATTGCACAACACAGGTGCACTTACCTACATGCAGGCAATACATGTATACACATCAAATAAAAATAATAAATAAGCTGGGCATGGTGGGGCAAGCCTGTAGAACCAGTACATGGGAGGCAGAGGCAGGCGGATCTCTGTGAGTTCAAGGCCAGCCTGGTCTACATAGTGAGTTCCAGGACAGCTGGGGCTACAGGGAGACCCTGCTTCAAAAAGACAAAAATAAATAAATAAATAAAATATTTTAAATGGTATTAAAGGGAAGAACTTAAAAGGAGATAGTACTAGGACAGTCCAATATAACTAAAATAAATATCATAATTCAATAAGATTGCATTTCATAAATTCACTTGTCTATCCAAAAGGTAGTTAGCTAAATATTATCACAAGGAGTGAAGCTGTTTTTTTAAATTATCTAATAATGGCATAACTTCTTGAATTCAATTCTTAGAAGAGAAATAATTTGTGTTAACAAGGCTTTTTGAAGAAGCAGTAAGTTAGGTTGTGTACTTTTATTGGGTTGTTTCTATAAGCTAGGCATTGATATGTACAGGGCCTCTTACTTTAGTCTACACCTAGAAGAACTTTTAGTACAATTTTCAAACAATGCATGACTCTCTGGCAATCCTGATTCCTGGTATTTCTTATTGGGATGGAGAGTTCATGGAAACGTCTGGCTGTTTTTCTTTGGGTAGGGAGATGCCAAACGACTCACAGTACATTTGAGTAAGGTGGTCCTGGAGAACAGTACTAGCTGAGAGACATCGGCTAAAAGGAGTTTCCTTGAGTTGCACAGCAGTCAGATCAAACCAGGGGAAGAACCTGAGGTGGGAAAAAAAGATAGTATTACTTTCTTCATGTCTGTTTAACACATATGATAAACACCTAAGGAGAGAATTTCTGAACTTGAGTACATTACCACAGAAATCTCCAAAGATGAAAGTGAAAAAAGAAAACACCGGAGACTGAAATATATAGAGGAAAATAAGCAAGGACTATGGAAAAAACACAAGAAATTATATATATAATGTAAATGAATTGATCACACTAGAAGAGGAGGAGAGAAAGGAACAGATTATTGAAAAACTAATGACTGAGAATTTCCCCAAAGTAATGACATATACAAGCCATAGATCTAGATGGCAAGCTAAGAGCACCAATCAGGATAAATGCCAGCAGTGAAAATGCTAACAAAAAACTACATGCACCTAGACAGATTTTTCATACTATAGGAAATCAAAAATAAAGAGAAAATTCTGAGAGAAGCCAGAGGGAAAAAAAGGTATTCTTACAATGGTAAGAAACTGACTTCTCAGGAATCAAGCAAACAGGAAGAGAAGGGGTAAAATATTTAAAACATCAACCCAGAACTGTGACACACATAAAATTATCCTTCCAAAAGTGAAGGAGAAAGAAAAATTTACCAAACTCAAATTAACATTCAAACTTTTTCAGAAATTTGGATCCATATAAAGGAAGAAGAGATAGATAAGGGTACATTGAGCTCTCTCTCTCTCTCTCTCTCTCTCTCTCTCTCTCTCTCCTCTCTCATTTTTTGAGCTGGAGCTCCAGCTGGAGTGGAACTGCTGTATAGACCAGGCTGGCTTTGACTCACAGAGACCCACCTGCCTCTGCCTCCTGAGTGCTGGGATTAAAGGTGCGTGCCACAATGCCATGCTACCCTGGTTGGATTTTTAATTAAAGAACTTGCCCCAAACTTGCTTCAGCCTCATGAAGTCTAGCATTATAGGTGTATGCCACCATACCCCACCAGTGATGACTTTTTAATTATAAACTTGTATTTAACTTTGTATTGCTATGACCAAATACCCAACATGAACAACTTAAAAGGAGAAAAGAGGGTCAGGGAGATGGTTCAGTGGTTAAGACACTTGGGGCAAGCAAGCGTGAGGAACCAAGTTCAGATTCCCAGAATGGACATAAATTCTGGGTGGGTGTGTTGATCTGCCTGTAATCCCAGACCATGAGCTCTGGGTTTGATGGAGAGACCATGCCTCTGAATAAAAGTAGATGAGTCATGGGCGTGGTGGCGCACACCTTTAATCCCAGCACTCGGGAGGCAGAGGCATGTGGATCTCTACCTCAAAAAGGCCAAAAAAAAAAAAAAAACCCAAAAAAGTAGATGAGTCATTGCAGGTGATTTCTGACATCAGCCTCTGGCCTCCATGTGCACTTGCACACAAGCACCCACATGCATGAAAGCATGCACATGCATGCATACCCCCCCACACACACAATACATGGAAAAAGAAAAAAAGAGGCAAAATGGCTCAGCAGTAATAAGCACAGTAATAAGAAGTCACATATAAAGGAAAACCCATCAGAATTACAGCTGGCTTTTCAGTGCAAACTATGAAAATCAAAACCTGGACCAAAGTATTTCCAGTTCTAAATGACCACAGATGCCAACCCAGATTACTTTACTCAGCCAAAATGTCTATTATACTAGAAGGGGAAAGAAAAATCTTCCATGACATAAATAGGCTGAAAGAATTCATGTCCACAAAAGCAGCCCTTCAGAGAGATCTTGAAGCAATACAAAGAGCTGAAGAAAGGAAAGACTATACTCAAGGGATAACAGAAAGAAACTTAATGAAGGTATAACTGTGGAAACGCTCAGTTCCACCAAGAATGTGAACAGAAATCTAAACGACAGGAATCAATACACATCTTTCATGAATAACTTTAAATATTAATGGACTAAACTCCCCAGTCAAAAGACACAGACTAATTGAATGGATTAAGAAACAAAACCCATCTGTTTGTTGTCTGCAAGAAACCCATGTCACTTTCAAGGACAGGCACTACCTTAAGGTGAAAGGATGGAAAAAAATATTCCAAGCAAATGGTACTAAGAAAAAAAGCAGGAGTTGCAATTCTAATATCTGACAAAACAGACTTCAAACTAAAACTAATCAGAAGAGATAAAGAGGGCCATTTCTGATCAAAGGAACAATTGACCAAGAAGATATTACAATCATGAACATATATAGTCACCAAACTCTGGTGCACCCAACTTCATAAAAACAGTAGTACTACAGGACTTTAAGACCTAGGTTAATCCCAACTCATTAATAGCAGGGGACTTCAATACCCTATTGTCCCATTAGAAGGGTCAACAGGACAGAGAATTAACAGAGAGACATCTGAATTAAACAATATCATATATCAAATGGGCCTAACAGACATCTACTGAATATTCCACCCAAGCACAAAAGAATATGCTTTCTATTCAGTGCTCCATGGAACGTTCTCCAAAATCGACCACATACTGGGGCACAAAACAAGCCTCAACAAATACAAAAAGACTGAAATAATTCCATGCATTCTATCAGACCACAATGCAATAAAGCTTAAAATCAACACTGGAAGAAATCCTAGTAACTACACGAACACATGGAGATTAAACAACACACTCCTGGGACTGGAGAGATGGCTCAGTGGTTAAGAACACTGGTTGTTCTTGCAGAAGACCCAGGTTCAAATCTCAGCACCTACAAGGCAGCTAACAACTGTCCGAAACTCCAGTTCCAGGGGGTCCGACAGCCTCTTTTGTCCTCCATGGGCATTGCACGACATGGGTGCACTTACCTACACACAGGCAATACATGCATACACATAAAATAAAAAATGATAAATAAAATATTTTTAGAAATAAACAACACACTCCTGAATGATGAAGGGTCAAAGGAGAAATTAAGAAAAAAAATAAAAGTATTCCTGGAAATTTTAGGACAACACAACACAACAAAACCTCTGGGACATGCTGAAAGCAGTCCTTAGAGGGAAGTTTATAGCTTTAAGTGCCTACATTTAAAAAATCAGAAAGAACACAAATAAACGACTTAACATTGCAACTCAAGACTCTTGAACAGCAACAACAAATGAAACCCAAGCCCAGCAGATAAGAAGAAATAACAAAATCAGAGCAGAAATTAATGAAATAGAAACAGAGAAAACAATACAAAGAACCAATGAATCCAAGAGCTGGTTCTTTGAAAAGATAAACAAGATTGACAGACCACTAGCCCAGTTAACCAAAAGAAAGAAAGAGCACCTCCAAATCAACAAAATCAGAGATGAAAGGGGAAACTTCACAGCAGACACCAAAAAGATCCAGAACATTACAAGGGAATATTTTAAAAAACTATTCGCTACTAAATTTGAAAACCTAAAAGAAATGGACTGGTATCTAAAAGCATGGGAACCACTAAAACTAAACCAAGAAGAGATCAACAGCTTAAACAGACCCATAATACATAAGGAAATTGAAACAGTATACAAAACCTCCCAACTCAAAAAAGCCCAGGACCAGATGGATGTACAGCAGAATTCTACCAGACATTCAAAGAAGACCTACATCCACTACTACTTAGTTTATTCAAAAAGAGAGAAATAGAGGGAGAACTTTCAAATTCCTTCTATGAAGCCAGCTGCATCATGCTAATACCAAAACCAGGTAAAGATAGAACCAAAAAGGAAACCTATAGACCCATATCCTTAATGAACATAGATGCAAAAATTCTTAACAAAATACTTGCAAACCACCAGGTGTGGTGGCACATGCCTTCAATCCCAGCACTCAGGAGGCAGGGGCAGGCTGATCTCTGTGAGTTCAAGGCCATCCTGGTCTACATAGTGAGTTCCAGGACAGCTGGGGCTACAGGGAGACCCTGTCTCAAAAAGACCAAAAAAAAAACCTTGCAAACAGCATACAGACACACATCAAAAAGATCATCCACCATGATCAAGTTGGCTTTATTCCAGAGATGCAGGGATGGTTCAATATACATAAGTCAATAAACATCATAAATCATAAAAATTGGCTCAAAGACAAAAACCACATAGTCATCTCAATAGATGCAGAAAAGGCCTTTGACAAAATTCAACACACATTTATGTTCAAAGTCCTAGAGGGAATTGGACTGGAGGGAACATACCTCAACATAATTAAAGCCGTATATAACAAACCCACAGTCAACATCATTCTAAATGGAGAAAAACTGGAAGCATTCCCATTGAAATCAGGAACCAGACAAGGCTGTCCACTATCTCCGCTTCTCTTTAACATAGTGCTTGAAACTCTTGCAAGAGCAATAAGACAAGAGAAGGAAATTAAAGGAGTAATAATTGGAAAAGAAATGATCAAATTATCCCTTTTTGCAGAAAATATGATATTATATCTAAGAGACACCAAAAAATGCCACCAGAAAACTCCTAGAAATGATTAACACTTTCAGTAAAGTGGCAGGTTACAAAATTAATCTACAAAAGTCTGTAGGTTTTCTATATACCAATAACAAGCAATCTGAGAAAGAATACATGTAAACACTCCCTTTCACAATAGCCATAATGAGGAGGGAACAAGTTCTTATTTCATAGGTAGAAGTTTTACTTAAGGAAGATCTATGAGTTCTGGGAATGAGTGGTTGTGATTGCCCAATAGTATGAATGCCATGGAACTGTAGACTTAAAAATGCTCTGAGTTCAATATTGTATAACTGTATTAATTCAACTGTGAACCTAAAAATTTACAGCCACTTTTGAAAGAGATGTATCCTTGCTCTGGAAATTGTTACCGAATATGTTAAAGCTGTAATGAAATGCTTCTTCTAATCATGTGGTTATTAAATTAAAAAATAAAATAAAATAATGCCCTGAAAATAAAAAATCTCAGAATAAACCTGACTAAAGACATTAACGACCTCTACAATGAAAAATTTAAATCTTTAAAGAAAGAGATTGAGGAAGACACCAGAAGATGGAAGGATCTCCTATACTCATAGAGTGGAAGAATTAATATTGTGAAAATGACCATTGTACCAAAAGCCATTTATAGATTCAATGCAATGACAGTCAAAATCCCCATGACATTTTTCACATAATTGGAAAAAAACATACTAAGATTCATATGGAAGCACAAAAGACCTCGGATAGCCAAAGTAACCCTGAACACTAAGAGCTATTCTGGGGGGATTACTATACCAGATTTTAAAGTATATTACAGAGCTATAGTGATATAAAGTATATTACAGAGCTATAGTGATAAAACAACATGGTACTAGCACAAAAATAGACCCATAGATCAATGGAACAAAACTGAAGACCCAAATATGAGTACATACAATTTCAGCCACCTGATATTTGACAAAGGGGCCAAGAACATTCACTGGAGGAAAGACAGTATGTTCAGCAAATAATTCTGGCAAAACTGGATCTCCACCTGTAGAAGAATGAAACTAAACCCCTATATTTCACCTGGTACAAAAGTCAACTCCAAATGAATCAAAGACCTCAATGTGAAGCCTGAAACTCTGAAACTGTCAGAAGAAAACATTGGCAATAACCTACAAGATATAGGTGTAGGAAAGGATTTTCTAAACCAGACAGCAGTTGCTCAAGAAATAAGGTGAAGAATCAATAAATGGGACATCATTAAACTAAAAATCTTCTATACCACAAAAGAAACAATCAAAAAAGTGAAGAGAAAAACCACAGAGTGGGAAAAAATCTTCACCAGTGACAGAACTGACAGAGGTTTAACATCCAGAATATATAGAGAACTCAAAAAACAAAGAACCATGAAACCAAATGAACCAATTAAAAGATGGGCTATAAGCCCGGCATGGTGGCGCACGACTATAGTCCCAGCAGTTGGGAGGCAGAGGCAGGTGGATCTCTGTGAGTTCAAGGCCAGCCTGGTCTACAGAGTGAG